CACTTGTGCTTGTTGTATGAGGAAGTGGAAGCTAACTTTCTGACCTAATCCTCGAGGTTGGGCGCTCAAGCTGTGGCTGCCAAAAGAAAGATAGGGACATTATGGAACATGAAAGAATAGGAATGTATACAATAAATACGAACTCCACTTACGATTAAAATTCCACTTCTCCAGGAATGACATTTTTTCCTCATGGATGATGTCTGAAGTTCTTACTCTAACGAACCGGCTCATCCAACCCCAGTCTTTGGGTTCATCGGTGTTGGTGAAGAAGGACTTCGTTGTTCGGTGTTGCAGCTTGATGAGCCCTCGAAATAACTGGGGCCGATACAATCGAACCAGGTGGCTAAGGGTGAATTCCAAACCCTCGGCCTTTTCAGAAAAGTATTGCATCATGATCACGATACACTAAAAAGAAGGGTGGATTTGACTGAGGGTGATTTCGTACATCTTGCAGAAGTCTATCACCACCGGATCAAGGGGACTCAATGTGAAGGGGTAAGTGTAAACACATAAAAACCCCTCCTTGTGGGTAGTTATGCTTTCATCGGGCCTTGGGATTTGAACCTCGACCTCATCTCCCCATCGATAATCCTTCTTTACTTAATCAGTGAGTTGCTCCGTTATCAAGCTAACGTATTAGGAGACGTGCTCGCATCGGCCTTTGACATTGGGAGGATTGTCAATACCAAAGTCCTTCTTGATGATGCAATCACCAGGGGTGATTTCCTCAAGTGTTGGAGACACCACCATTGTGGCCGGTTGGGAGGCAGAGGAAGATGATGTGTTGTCCTTTTTGGGGACCGTCTTGGAAGTTTTAGCTATGGTTGTAAGCTAAAGAGTGCAGATGCACAGGGATGTGGTGCTTCCGGCAAGAGCTTGGTATTTTCCGGCGCTTGAAGAGGCGGAAGAAGTGAGTGATTGAAGAAAGAGATGAAGTTGGGAAAAGATAGAAGAAAGGGTAAAGTTCTTCGCTTAGAGAAAATGCCTCATATTTATAAAGGAGCAGCGATGGTTTGGCAGCGTTAGTGGCCGACCATCCCTGGCGTGCATTCAATACTTTTGGGGAAGTGGGCCCATGGGATGTTCGGTCACTTCGAACGTTGGCATTACGAGGATGATATAATCAATAAGGGCTTCGGGAACCAACCGTTTCATATCATTTCATTCTAAGAAATGCGGGGACCATCTGTATACGGTCAAAATCAAGGAGCCCAATTTCGAAGTCTTGAATTAAGCTATGAGTCCGAGTCCGGGTGACTCAGAGTAGGGGTCGGACCCGGTTGAAGGACGCACACCTCGGGGAAGCAGATCGAAGGCCTGGCATGGCCTACACCAAGGGCAGTCCATTCTCGAGGGCACTCAAGAAAGAGCAGAAATTTCTCAAGGACACGTGGATGAGGGCATAAATTAGAGGATAAGATTTGTACGAATGGTACAGGTCCGTACTAGGTTGTTATACACCTGTACCAATAGAATTATTTACCTCAATTAAGAATGTACTATATTGGGATTTTCTCCTAGGGGACCCCAATCATTTTGTAAGACGCATTATCCATTGCGATAGAATATTCTACTCTGCTTTTCTGGTTTAACGTGCTCTACAAGTATTTTTCAGCTTTATTGCTTTTACTTTATTGTTCATATTCCACTGCTCTTAGCTGACCTCGAGGCCACAAATAAAGTCGAGCTCGAGGTCCCCCTTGTTATAGTTACACTGGTTTGGTTCATCAATTCTTATTACTTAAACTTAATATTACTTGTATAATCACTAGTATTAAAATAAATCACATATCTTTAAAACCACAAATTATCTTTAATTGTTACTTCCAATTTTCGAGGTAAACCATTATCTTTGCATAAATGTCCTTATTGTCAGCCTCGTAATAATTTGATCTTTGGGCAATGCATGTCTTTATTGTGGGGCTACAGCTGGGATTGAGTTAAGGGCTCGCTTGGTATGAGGAAAAAAGGATAATTAATCCCGCGATTAAATTTGAGACGAGTTTAACTCATATTTGGTTGGGATAAAATCATGGTATAACTAATCCCGAAATTAATTATTCCGGGATTGTAGTATTTTTTTATCCTTATGAAAGCGTGGAATAACTAATCCCGAAATAAGTAATCATGAAATAACTTGTTTCCAACCAAACAACCCTTAAGGCGGCAACCATCACTTCTCTATATAGCTTTATGAAGAAAAAAATATAGCTTTATGAATCACTTCTTTGCAAGAGCGTACCACTTTTTGTAATTATTATTTTTTCCTCCTTTATTTTTTTAATCATGAAATTCTAGGAACTAGGAAGATATAAACATTATTGATTTTGAGATCTCTTGATATGAATCAAGTATAGCTTGACTTGTTAACCCTCAGGTCAAAGCTTCGTTAGCCTGCATTCTTTTTGTTTTCAAAGTTTATTTTAACAAAGCCATTCACAAAATACTTTGGCAATAGCGCCATTCGCAAACATAGTATTATTTGAAAAGTTAGTTTGCAAAAAATATCACATTAAAACTTACATTTTGAGTAGTTAATTAATTTTAATTTTTGAAAGCTGTAAAAAATATAATTAAGAAAATTAAGATCAAATCCGAATATAAGAAATAATTTGTTTTATTGAAAAAATTTAAATTTTCCCTTATCCTCTTTGAAATTGCTTAATGTTATCGTTAGACGACATTTGGTATATTTATGGCTTTGTTGTTACCAACTCATCTCATACTTTACATTAAGGTTTAAAATTATCTTCTAATTGAAGCATGATACCTTTACTAATTTTTTCCTTTCCTTTATGGCTTGCTGGCTGAATTAGCTAGCTTCAAAGCGCTTATTTGAAAGGAGTAATATAACACCAAAAGTTTGAAAATGAAACTTTTTTATAAAATTGGGGGAGGGGACATATAAGATTAGACCAAAAGTTTAACGTGGGGTAGAGGGCGGGAGATAAGATTAGTCTAAAAGTTTAACGAAAAGTAAAGTTGCTCAATTTTATGTCATGGTCTATAGAGTCGTTACAATTAAAAATGGGATAGAGTTCAATTATAAAATGCAGAAGGACCTCTTTACAAAACACAGAAAGGTTGGAAGGTTGAGATTTGTTCAACAGGTATAGATCAACGGCTCAGATTAATTCCAAAGGAAACAAATAACGACTGGAGGGAGGAGAAACCAACAAACCTCTGGAAACTAAATTCTTCTCTCTCTTCTGATTTCTCTCCCTTCAATCCAAATTCTCTTCTCACCTATATCTGCTCTTCTTTCTGTTGCAGACTTGAGCTCATCAATAATGGTGTTCATCAATTAGTGTTTCTTATCATTTCATTTTCTTCAATTTTAGTTGTAATAGTTTCACTTAGTCAATAAATCGAAAATTGTCCCAAAAATTACTTGTTATTTGAATATTTTATAATTATGGTTTGGCTTGAGTCGAGCTTAGAGCTTGACAATTGGTATCAGAGCCTTGTCGATTTCCCGCCAAATCAGAGATACTAATGGTTGAAGGAACTCCCATGAAAGTTATGGATAAAAAATTAACCCATCATGACAAGCTATTGGCTGAGCTGAAAGAGGAACAACAAGCTTTGAAAGACACCCAAGCCGGAACTCAAGGAACCTTGGAACAACTTTTTGAAAGGTTAAATATCATGGATTATAGGCAACCTAGGCCACCTGAGCAAATTCCCGGAGTTGGAATTGGACTACTTCCCTTACCGGCTGAGAATAGAGCAGCTAGACCACAACAAAGGCAAATTCCTAATCCAAAATGGGAATTACCAAGCTTTGATGGTACTAACCTAAGGTATAGATTCAAAAATGTGATAGATTCGTCAATCTGTATAAGGTAGCTGATGATCTTAAAGTAGAAGGGGTTGTGTTTCTATATGAATGGCAATACTAAGTTATGGTATAATTCCCCGATACTAAGCAGGGGAGTGATTACATGGGATGAGTTGAAGGAGAAGGTATGCAATTGGTTTGGGGAAGTGCTAATGGAGGATATAGTGGAAGAATTTAGTCGACTACAACAAACAAGCAATGTGGAAGATTATCTGGTAAAGTTTGATGACCGCTCAAATGATAATGAGGAACCCTGCACTAAATGAGGCACATTTCTTTCTAGCTTTGTAGGAGGCTTGAAGGATGAAATCAAGTATTTAGTGAAGTTATTCAAACATAAAACCTTGAGTTGAGCCATTAAGCATACTACAATGTAAGAGAAGGCTATTGAGGCTGCCTTGAAGAAGAACCAGCCAGTGGCAAGATTGACCACTATTGTTAAAGCTTCAGTTCCAACACTGGTGCAAAGACCAACTACAGCTGCTACATCCAAACATGGTCCCTTGATACTGACTCTAGAGGTGTATGAGTATAGAAAGGCCAACCAACTATACTTCGGATATGGAGAAAAGTTTGGTTCTGGTCACAAGTGCCAATTCAAACAACTACAATGTTTGACTGGAGAAGTGGAGGAAGTAGCTACTATACAAGAAGAACCCCTACCTGAGATAGAGATTGAATTAGACATGGGACTAGAAATGCAGGAGGTTATTTGCTTTAATACCTTGTCTGATACTAATATGGGAGTCAATACCATACTAGTCAGAGGAGTGTTTAGAAGAAAGGAGCTAACTATCTTGGTGGATTCAGGTAGCACTCACAACTTCATTAACGAGATTACTGTCAAGGAGAGTGGCTACACACCACTGTTTTCTAATACCTTAAGAGTAATAGTGGCTGATGGCAATTACATGTATACCAACTCTGTTTGTCCCAAGTTCAGCTGGAAGATGGGTGAAAAATTATTTGAAGAAAACTTGAGAATACTACAGTTAGGAGGTTGTGACATAGTCATTGGCAATGATTGGATGAAGAAGTTCAATCCAACCAAATTTGACCATGAGAAGTATTGTGTGACCATTGGAAAAAAAGGCAATAAGGTGGTGTTATAAGGCATCACCAACAGGGGCAATTAGGATGGACCAGTGGAAGCACTATGGGAAAACTAATAAAGAAGGGCCAAACTCTCATGGCACACTTATTCTTGGTGCAAGCAGTAGCAGCAAAAGAGGAGGAGCCCATTGATTCCTCCATCCATACAGTATTGATCACCTATCAGGATGTGTTTGGTAAGCCTAAATCCTACCGCCTATAAGGGACCAAGATCATGAAATTCTACTCAAACCAAGATCTGCTCCTATCAGCCTGAGGCCCTACAAGTATAATTTCTTTCAAAAAGAAGAACTAGAGAAACAAGTGAGGGAAATGATGCTTAATGGGATCATTAAAGATAGTCAGTCATCCTTTTGTTCACCAGCTTTACTAGTAAAGAAGAAAGATGATACTTGGAGGTTTTGTGTGGATTATAGAGGACTTAATGAGATAACCATCAAAGATAAGTATCCAATTCCAATAGTGGATGACTTGCTAGATGAGTTATTTAGGTCAGTTATTTTCTCAAAAATTGACCTTAGGTCTGGGTACCACCAAATCAGGATGAAGAGTGAAGACATTTACAAAACTGCTTTTAGGACTCATTTGGGACACTATAAATTCAAGGTGATGCCATTTGGGCTAACAAATGCTCTAGCTACATTTCAAGCATTGATGAACCAAGTTTTTCAGCCTATACACAGAAAATTTGTGTTGGTATTCTTTGATGACATCCTCATCTATAGTAAATCTCTACCTGAACACTTGACACATCTGGAGGTAGTGTTAAAAATCCTGAGAGCTTAGACCTTGTATGCAAAGAAATTTAAGTGTTCTTTTGGACAATCAAAGGTGGAGTACTTGGGGCATGTGATCTCTAAGGAAAGGGTATCTACTGACTCTAAGAAGGTCAAGGCTATAGTAGATTGGCCCACTCCTACTACCTTGACAGGTTTGAGAGGCTTTCTGGGATTAACAAGCTATTACAGAAAATATGTGCTCAATTATGGAGTTATTACTAAACCCTTGACTGATTTTCTTAAGAAGGAAGCCTTCAAGTGGAATGAGGAAGCTACAACTACCTTTGAAACTCTGAAACAAGCCATGATCAAAACCCCAGTCTTGTGTTTAACTGATTATTCGCAAGACTTTATAGTGGAGACTGATGCTAGATAGAATGGTATAGGTGTTGTGTTATTACAAAGGGGGAAACCCATTGCTTAGTTGAGTAAAGTACTTGCTCCTAGACATAGAGGAAGGTCTATTTATGAGAAAGAATATATGGCTCTCTTAAATTCAGTAGAAAAATGGAGGCACTACTTGCAAAATAAACATTTTATAGTGAGAACTGATCATCATAGGCTCAAATTCCTACTGGAACAAAGAGTGACCACTGCCATTCAATAGAAAGGGTTAACTAAACTACTAGGACTTGATTATGAAGTTTAGTATAAGAAAGGGGCAGAAAATAGAGTTGTTGATGCACTCTCCAGGCAATTGAGGGTCAATAAGGTGAAACCTTGTCTAATACAGCTGAGTTCATGGCCATTAGTGTAACAATTCCTACTTGGATACAAGAAGTCAGTAATAGCTACGAAGGGGATACCCATACATCTATCTTAATCTCTGAGGTACAGTGGCTACTCAAGGACCTCATATATACCATTACATAGCTGGAGTATTGAGAAAGAAAGGTAAGATTTACATAGGGGATCATGATCCACTCAGACAACAATTATTGATAACCTTTCACGATTCACCAATTGGAGGGCCTTCAGGCCACCTTGGCACTCTAAAAAGGCTTTCACAATTGTTCTATTAGCCTAGTATGAAACAGATGGTGATTGACCATGTATATGCTTGTGATGTGTTCCAAAAAAACAAAGGAGAAAATGTTCCTTACCTGGCCTACTGCAACCTTTACCCATTCTAGACCAGGTTTGGAAACAAATCACCATGGATTTTATTGAAGGACTACCAAAGTCTAAGGGCAAGGAAGTGATCTTTGTGGTAGTTGATAGGAGGTCAAAATTTGCTCATTTTATGACTCTTGCTCACCCTTACACTGCAGTGAATGTGGCTAACAAGTTTTTCAAGCAAGTGCATACCCTGCATGGGTTACCTAACTCTATAGTTTCTGATAGGAAAAAGGTGTTCTTAAGAAACTTTTGGCAGGCACTATTTAGGTTGCTGGGCACTCAACTTCATTTTACTACTGCCTACCACCCTCAGAGTGATGGCCAAAGTGAAAGGGTAAATAAATGCATTCAGAATTATCTTAGGTGCATGACTTCTCATAGGCCAGTACAATGGAAGCAATGGTTACCCCTAGTTGAGTGGTGGTACAATATAAATTTTCACACCAGCTTAGGATGCACTCCCTTTGAAGTCTTGTATGGCTTTACTCTACCACAGTTATCAGTTGGGCCATTGTTAGATACTACTGTCCAAGCTACTAGTGATGTTATTATGAGAAGACAACAGGTTCAACAACTGTTGTAGGATAATTTGATAAAGGCTCAAGAGGGATGAAGTTATATGCAGATCAAAGAAGAACTAAAATGGAATTTCAGGCGGGCGACATGGTTTTTCTAAAGCTCCAGCCTTATAGACAAACATCCTTAGCTCTCAGAAGAAACCTCAAACTCAGCTCCAAGTTCTATGGGCCATACAAAGTCATTGCCAAAGTGGGGCAAGTTGCTTACAAACTAGAACTACCTCCTACCCCTAAGGTATACCCTGTATTTCATATTTCTCTATTGAAAAAAAAGGTTGGACGTCACGACCCCAACCCCGGTCATGATGGCGCCCAACACACTGCTAGGCAAACCCGACCATTCAACAACATTATCCCAAATTCTTATTCAGATTATAGATAAATATCACAGAGAATTTACTAAGTCATTTCATTCAAGTGTATAATTAATAATAAAATCTGCGGAAGTTCAATTAAAATACCACACCATAGCCCAACAGAATCCGGTATCACGAATATGAGCCTCTAATACAGANCTAGGCAAGCCCGACCATTCAACAACATTATCCCAAATTCTTATTCAGATTATAGATAAATATCACAGAGAATTTACTAAGTCATTTCATTCAAGTGTATAATTAATAATAAAATCTGCGGAAGTTCAATTAAAATACCACACCATAGCCCAACAGAATCCGGTGTCACGAATATGAGCCTCTAATACAGAATATCCACCTATTACAAGTCTGTCTATGAAAAATACGGAATAAAAGATAGCGATAGAGGGGAGAGATCAAGGCTGCAAAAGCCATGCAGCTACCTCAATACTCCCGGATACTGCCTGCTCAGCTAAACAATTCCTCACTTAGCCTATGGTGTACCTGAATCTGCACGCAAGGTGCAGGGAGTAATGCGAGTAATCCGACCTAGTGAGTAATAAACATAAATAAGGCTGAGAATAAGAAATCATGGAAAAATACAAAGTAAACTATAACTGGCAGTTTAGAACAACAAATAGTGAAACAACAAGTCAATTAAGTCAGAGTACCAAATACTGAGACAGGTATAACAGATAAAAACAAATGCATGAGTGAAATGCAATGCATATAATGGTACACTCTAGTACCCACTGCGGCGTGCAGCCCGAGCTATTCATTTATTGATCATCGACGGCGCTCACTAGGGTGTGTGCAGACTCCGGAGGGGCTCCTACAGCCCAAGCGCAATATCAAGCCATCTCGTGGCATCAAATCTAGGCCCTCGGCCTCATATCAATCTCAGTATAATCACCCAGGCTCTCGGCCTCAATATCAATGTAATCACCCAGGCTCTCGGCCTCAATATCAATGTAATCAACCAGGCTCTCGGCCTCAATATCAATATAACACTGTTGCGGCGCGCAACCCGATCCATGCTCAGTCCAGAAATCATCATAAGCCCCTTGGGCATTTGTAAAACAGTAGTTCTCAACCCGAAATGTCATTTAGAAATATCATTTAAGTTTTTAAATCTTAGAAAATGGCTGAGTTTGCAAAATAGTATTTAATACCTTGGACTGAGGTCAAATGATATGCAAAATATGTGAAAGCAGTGATATCAATCCCTGAAGGATTCAAATAATTGGCAAGAAGCCCAAATGTAACAATTAAATCCAAGTAAGGATGATTCTCAATTTAGTTCAAGTAGAAAGTACAGTAAAAACATCTCCCGGGACGAACCAAGTCACAATAACCAACGGTGCTCTACCCCACGCCCGTTATCCGGCGTGCAAGTCCCCTCAATATAGCGTTACGATGTAAAATTCCGGGGTTTCAAACCCTCAGGACATCATTTACATCAATTACTCACCTCAAGACGGTCAAAGCCTAGCTCGCTATGCCCTTGCCTCTCAAATTACCCTCCTCGTGCGACGAATCTGCCTAAAATCACAACGAATATGTCGCATTATGCTAAAGAGACAATACCCAATCGAAAGCAATCGAAAAATATCAAAATTCACGAATTTGACAAAACCCGAGCCCCGGGCCCACGTCTCGAAAAATCAGAAAATTAACATCACCGGATTCCTTGTCTCTCCACAAGTCTATACATACCAAGAACTCCCAAATCTGAGTTCAAATGACCCATCAAATCCTAATTGTTTAGTTTCAAAATTCAAGCTCTAGTTCTTGATTTGTAGGCTTGTATTTCATGAATCTTGTGACGATCCGAAGGGTCATCACCGTAGTTCTTCCTTGTTCCGCGCTTTCGAGGCCTTGAAAACCTCGCTTTTAGTTGTCTCGATTGGTGTACGTAGTTCGGGCGCGTAGCCGGAAAGTTTTTATGTTAGAATATGTGAATTATGTGAAACATGTGATGAATTTTGGTATTAATATGCATAATGTTGACATCGGTCAATATTTTGGGTAAACGGATCCGGACCTATGATTCGACGGTCCCGGAGGATCCGTAGAAAAATATGGGACTTGGGCGTGTGCCTGGAATCAAATTCTAAGGTCCCAAGCCCGAGAAATGAATTTTTGAAAGAAATTGTTTTTCTGAA